TGGATAATGTCCACTAAAATGCAAGGAACCAGAAAAATTGCTACAAGAATTTCGGGCTTCCGCTTGAGACCTTGCTGTGATGCAGACACAGGAAGACGGATTCCGTCTTTCATGTCTGGTTTCTCTCCACTGGGAAACCCTGGAAAGGGTCGAAAGCCGCCCCGTAGAGGCGGCAAGCAAGGAGGGGACTCTCATTGATCGTGGGGTGGTGGCAGCCCCTGTTCGATCCGAGGAAGCCCTCCAAACTGCCGGAGGAAAGACTGGCTGCGGACAATGAAAGTCAACAAGCACTACCAAGCAACCTTACAGCAACATGCAGGGCTTTTTTTGTTATAGAACACCCCGGAACACAGTTCTGGCACCTTTTTTCAATGGATTTTCCAGAGTTGCATTCTTTTCCTATTGTTGCCCTTCCTATCCTTGTTTGTTTTTGAAAAGGCCCTGCTGGCTGCATGGTGCGAGAGGGGTCCCCTCTGGCACTGTCTGCCTCCTCTAGGAGGAGCCATGAGGCGCCAGAGCACTACAGCCAGAGTGTGGCTTGATTGGCTAGGTCAGACCATGTGGTGTGGAAGCCGATGGTACCGGTGGGAAACACATAAGAAAATATACTTGGCAAATACAGCCTTTTAAAAATTAACAAAAATGGTAACTTGAGATCATCCTAACACATTAACATATAAATACATCTGCTGGACCATCTCTCAACTCCATTTTTGCCAGTCTTTGGATTTTCCTTTCCAGAATGCTGTAATTTGGACTGATTTTGATGGTAGTCATTAGATAACCTGCTTCTATTTTTCCGGCTATTCACCACCATGTTCTTGGATTCTCCCAACCACTTTATTCCCACAGACAATTTGCCCCTGTTGCATTTAGTCCTTCTTCCAAAGCTGTAGTTAACTGTAGTTCAGTTTCCTCCTAGAGAAATCTCATCCTGGCCTGACTCTCTGAAATGCCACAGGAGTGCAGGAATGTCAGCTGTCATGTTCGGGAGTCTCAGTCACGAGTGGCCCAGGACCACTACCTTCCAGCCCTTTTCCTACGAACTGCAGGCTCCCAGACTCTGCTCTTCCGGGAAGAGCCCATCCAAAGATCCGTACCCTCAAGGGCCCACACTGAAGTGAAAGCCCCTAAAGCCTAACCCCGAGGGAGCTTAGCTGAAGTCTCTGGGTCCTTGGAGACGCCAGCACAGGAAATGACCCAAGACAGCCACAGGCCTATGGAAGCCCATAAGTGTGTGCACTGAGTCGGGATCGCTAATTGGTAGTGGTCTCTCACGATACCACCAGGCTCCTGCTACCTCCTCCAGCTTGACAGGCACCTCCAGCCCTGAAAGGGAGGCTCAGTTCCTTCTCTCGGAGCTCTGCCAAGCATCATCTTGCTCCCCCCTCCCCCCGCTGCCCTCTCACCTTGGCTGGTCCTCCCCTCAGCCCCACTCCTCAGCTATGAGAAGCATCCCCGCACACACCTCCCTGTCCCCAGGCCAGGCCCAGGCAGGCCCAACCCAGCAGGCCTTGGTTTTCCCTCCCGCCCCCTCCCCGGAATAAACATGGAGGCCATCTTTCATGAGAGGGTGAGTGAGCCTTTTGCCTTCCCTTACAGAAGGTGAGGCGTGAGGTTAAAAAGAGGTGAAGCGACAGGAAAGAAAAGCAGCTGGCGTGGAAGCTTGCCTGACAGTGAAACTTTGCTGTTTCAGTTCCTTGGGTAGTTCAAAGGCTGGGATGTCTACAAAAATCTCTTTTTAGTCTTTTATACTTTATATTCAAACTGCAGAGGGGAAGAATAAGAATAAAGACAATGTCTTGTGATTTGGAGATATTATTATTAATAATATATATTATGTATTGATCGGATGTAAAAGTAGACCTACAGTATGAGGTTTAATCAGATCTATTTATTAAATTGGGTTTAACTTAAAGGTAAATTAAAAGTAATCTGTTCACTGACAAAGTTTCAACTTTAATATCCATATTAATATATCCATATTAAAGTCCAAATATAAATTTTTCCACCTTGTTTGACAACTTCTTAAAAATAATTCAATCTTTTACAAGCAACCAAATTTTGTTTTATTGGGCCAATTTCATTCACATAGAAAGTTGACATTTCCACTCATTAAACTAAATGGGTATGCCAGTGGTAAATGTCCCAAAAGTTTAATAAAATGCCTTCTTGTAATTTAAAGCCACACAGTACATGGTAACATTAATACTAGTATTAACTTACCTTGAACAAAATCCTAGTCTTTTAGATTACATTAAAAATTGAAGGGTTTTTTTTTTAACTACAAAGATAAATCTTGTAGGGTAAGGCAAGGCGGGTTGTATGATGTGTGAGTTCCAGTACTTTTTTTTTTTTTTTACAAAAAAACCGCAATGTGGATGAAACTGGGTGAGATCTGATCCTTTCTTCATGATTTTAAGACCTCTTCCTGAAAATCTGCCCAAAGCACTTCCCTCGATGAAAGAGGGAAAGGGAATTTCCACCCCACTTCCTCAGAAAAGAAAAGCGGTGAATTAATACTTGGGGATACAGGCGAAACTTGTAAGACTTATCTGGAATTAAAATATATTTACAGCTTGAACATTTGAGGACTAAAAGTGTTTTTAAGACCTTTTTATTTTTTTAAAGAAAAAGACTTGAAAAGTTATCGTATAAGTTTTGGAGCTAAACCCGGAAAAGTGGTGTTGATGACATCTAGTGGGGAATCACAGCACTACAACTTATTTACGCCTAAAGGAAATCTGGCTTGAAGCCCAGAACTAGATAAGACTTTGGCTGGCCTTGGAACTACCAGTATTTTGTTACTGAGAATTACAGTAGAGAAAAAGGGAGTAGGCTTGGGGGTTGCTTATCTATGTGGCAGAGATGATAAACATTTTAAATTTGGCCTGTCTGAACTCTGAACATAAATACTGACTCTCAGAACTGCATTATGGATTTATTTTTTTTTGTAGAAGAAATACATGGAACACTTTGGATAACAAATCTTAATTGTTAAACAATCCTCAATGATTCTTCTTTCTCCCTGGACAGAAAAGACATATTTTTTTTACTGGACAGAGAAATTTGAACTTTACTTATATCTGCTTAGGGGAGATTCAGGAATAGACAGTCGGCTGGATAAATCTATAAAGGCTACTTATAAAAATAAAATAAAATAAAATAAAATAAAATGGATGATTCATAGCAGTAAATAGTAAAACATCATCTTTAACATCTGCAGCCTTAACTTGCCATGTCACCAAGAAAATACTGACGAAACACAGAAAGAAATTCTCTCCATGTTGAAATTAATACAAAAAACAATTATTTTAGCTTGTGAGCAGGTTACTAATAACACAAAGGAGATAAAAGAACAATTTTTAATTCAAATCTACGCAGTCAGAAGACAACTACAGAGAAGGAACCAGCAACTCAGAAAATAGAAGGAAAACTAGAGAATGATGACACAAATATTGAGGATCCAAAAGAGGAAACAAACAACCAGATTCAGATAAATGAAAACTCAGAAGATATAACGATAATACTGGAAACAGAAAAGACATTTTATAAATTAAGGTTTCAGAACATACTGGATGACAAGGAAGGAGAGCTGATAGAATGGAAGATAAAGCCGTTAATAGAACTGTGGGGAACCAGAGAAGGAGGGAGGCGGTTTAAACGGGCTAACTCTTCCAAAAATATTTAACTAAATTGTTTCTTTTGTTCCAAATAATATATATAAAAATAGAGGAAGAATTATTTGATAATCCAAATGCACTGACTTGGAAAGCTAGTTGGCAAAGAAAGAAATCTAGAGTAAGATTGAAGGAAACAAAAGCTTTGACCTATTAGAGGGGATGCTACATTATTGATTAGAAGTTTGAATATGGTTAAGAATAGATTGTTAGAAATAGAAATATTATTATAACTAGATAGTTAGGATTTGTAATTAGAATATTATATCTTGGTATGAGAAGGAAAATAAGAATATGTTAAGAATATTTTGGTTGCCCAAATATAACTTGTTTTGAAATTATAAATGATTGGGATACTTTGAATATGGATGGGAAACTAAAATTGAAAAAAAGCAAAAATAGGATATGGATTAAATAAGTGGAAATTGAATGCAAATGCAATTAAGATATGCTTTGGCTAGGAAAGATATTTTAAACTGATATTATTGATATTATTAGAAAAATGTAACAAATGTTGATATGCACTTGTATGTTTATTAACAATAATAAGAATTGTATTTGCTTAATGCGGAAAAAATGTTATTACCAGAAGAAGAGAGGATGTATTGGCAGGTGTAACATTGGACTTAGTTGGAAAAACTTATATGTATCACTGAATTACTAATGGACTCAGTCATCCCGTTGTCTATTGAGCACTTGCTTGTGAAAATAGAAAATTAATAAAACATGTATTAAAAAAAAATCAGTAGATAGGGCTACAGCCTGCAAGTCAGGTACATCTGGATTAGCAAACCAGAATATGTTATACAAAAATAAAAATATGGAATGGAATATACAAAATAAATTAATTATGCATGTAGTTTCAATTTGGATAATTTATAAAGGTGAAGAAATTCATTTTTCGTGGTACCAAACTAATTGATTTTAAAGTACAACACAATATTCTTAAGCCAGACTGCTTAATTAAGATATTTTAAATCTTAATTAAGCAGTCTGGCTTAAGAATATTTATTAATTAGGATCTGAATAGTACAGGACTATGATCTATAATGCATAGGTGATAGAAATCTTGCTTAGAATATTAAATAATTAATATGGCCACTTAACTCTTCTGTGATATTCCTATTTTGTTTCTTCTCAGTACAGTGGTAATTCTGCTTTTTTACTTTTCCACAAAAGATGTAGGGTGGATTCAGGGCATCAATTATCAGGTTCAGAGTATATTTCCAAAGAGAACTAATGTCCATCTAATGCAGCTCTTGTCATCAGAATTTTGCTTGTGCGTGTGTGTGTAATTAAATGCATTCTTACCTGTTTCAGCCTCCAGCATTACTACGTTCACTGGAGAGCCCAATGTCTGTCCACACTGCTCCAAGAAAGTCTACTTTGGTGAGTTTTCTGAAGATCTCCTGTTTGCATTGGACCTGCACTATATTTATCTCACAAGTACAATGGATCTTGCAGCTCTGTTGAAAGAAGCACACTTCATCTGGAAATGGTAGATTTTTTAAAAGGGAGTTATCCTAATTTTATTGTGGAAAATACAAAGTATTGGTTTTTTTATACATGAGATCATTACTGTTCTCTGAGATGTATCATAGCAATATAACATTCCAGCCACATTCACATACTTACTTTGCTCTAGTGCCATCCCATCCCAGCCTGTCCCAATCATGCTGTTCTAAATCTTGTTTGCCCCAGAATTCACCCTTACTGGACACCAGAATGGGTTAGGCTGTAGTGCTATTCAAACACACAGTTCTAAAAATTATGATTTGTGGTTTCCTTTGCTGAAACTCCAGCCCCAGCTATTCATATGAAGAGCTTTCTGTATTCAACATGTAGATAGCTGTGGTTATTCCATGCTGTCAAGGTTGATTCGCAAGGCATTTCTTTCTGCTTACAACTTGACAAGAAGCTAAGGGAGTGAGATTGGGTATGATTGGAATGTGTGGGAAGCTGGGAGGGGAAAAAAGAATTTATGTGAGCTGTTTACAGCCTGAGAAATTCTCATAACCCCAAGATCAAATGCTGAAGACTTTAGAAAAGTGCAGACTGTTTTCCCAAAATAAAATGTTTAACCTGGATTGGTGGACAGTGGACACTGGGTGGCCCAGGGGAAGGAAAAGGGTTTTTTTACTATGCTGTGCTTCATGCCAAAACCTTAGAACTGGCTTTGCTTCTTCTGTGCCTATATGGATCTGTCAGTAAAGTTTTACTCTTGGTAACAAAAAAATATATCAGGAGTTTCTTTTGCTGTACATGCACTGCATTTTTCCCATCCTAAAAGTAATCAGTTGAGACTTTTTTCAAAGAGAAGTTTATGAGAAATGGAAGATAAACATCTTTGAATGATTGATGTATAGGTGGTTGCTGTTGTGGCTGTTGAAGGACTAATCAATCAAATCTAATAAATTCTGACTGCTTCCTTGAAGCAATATAGCAAGCAGAAACTCACATAATAAGCATGTAATGCAAGTAGATTGTAACAAAATGCAGAAAATAGAATGCAGTCTGCTGTTGTGTCACATGGACTCCTGGATATGCATACTGTTCTTGTCCTTTGATAAGCATAAGCTGGGAAACTGGCATGGGAAAAGGAGACAGGCAATTACATTCACATAGTGACATTCTCATTAGGAAGGGAACTTGAAAAGGGGATGATGTGCTGGAAGAAAAAGAAGACTTAATTCAGATGGAGATTTTGGGATTTGGAGAGGGAAGAAATTGGCATATGAAAAAAATGGATTTAGGCAGTTTTAGCTGCTGAAATTATATAGATTCCAGGGTGACACAAGTTCAGTGAAGCAATTCAGAGTGGACCAGGAAAAGACTATTGATTAATAAACAGTAATATACAATAATATAACAGTAATAATAGTAAAATAAATCAGCTCTGAGAAGATGTGCCTAATAGGGAAGATCCAAGAAATTTTTGGAGGTAATCAGTCAAGCATTATTAATTTTGTTATTCATCTCTGAAGAGAGATATCTATTGATACTATAAGGGGTAAAAAAAATCAGTTTGTGCCGTGATTGATAACCTCTTGACTATTATTGACTAAGAAAAAGGTTGAGGAAAGAAAAACAGGAAGGAAATGAATAATGTAGATGGACAAATTGAAGCTGCACTCCCTCTTGACATATTGTTTTGGGTATCTTTTTTGGGGGGTGCTGCTGTTTGGTTCTCCATATTTGGGTATTGGGTGCTCCTGGGTAGATGCATAGCTGGGTGCCCTGAGTTCAGGTCAGATGTGTCTCTGGTCCTACTGGGAATGAAGCCGCGTCCTATTGTCAGTTGATCATGCCTATCTCCCAAGGGCCTTCAGTTTGCCCACATTCCCAATAGCCATGGCTTCCATGGCCAAAGTTTGTTGGTGCCCAACGGAAATCAAAGACTGCTGTGTCTGATAAGGTGGGCCTGTTAATTGCCAGCCTTTTTTCCACTTCTTTCTAATATGAAATTTTTTGGACAATCCTTTGGAAACAAGCTACAAAGTTGATGGCTATCTACTTGCAGAATCGAAGTAGTAAAAATACTAGCACAAGGCAGGTTTATTTCTGAGTTAAGCATTATGAGATACAACCCACTTATATTCCAGATGCAGTACATTCATTCTCATACTGCACTTCATTGCTGAGCAAGCATATTACTTGCTTCTGAGCTCTACTGCTAAGTTCCAAAAGCTACAGTGAAGCTTCTCTGAGAATGAGCCAAGTAAGCTTGATGATAGAAGATTGACCAATGAACTGTTCATTGGCTAAAAGTTTAGCTAATCTCACTGAGAGAACATACTATACCAATCTGTGAAGAATGATGGCCACAGAGCAGAAGCAGATGTGAAGGACTACAGTGAAATGGCAGTTTCCCAGGAAGGAGGAAGCACAAGGGAGGGGGAGAGACAAACAATATGGCCTGGAGATGGTTAGGAAAAAGAAAGTGGTCAGATAGCCACTCCCTAGAATCTCCTGGTGTATGTCTTTTAGGCTCAGAGAAGTAAGAATTTAGTCTGGCAAGATGCTGTCTGTTATAATACTGTTATACATACCCAAGGATTAAAGTCAGGCTAAGCCCAGGTATGATGTGAAACAACTCAGACAAAAGTTCAATTTTTTATTTGCTTAAAACAATAGATAGCATCTTGCCAGACTAAACCAAGGTTCTTAAGGAACTGGCAAACATGATCTCAGAACTATTGAATAAAATCTTTCAAAGCTTCTGAAGCACTGGGGAAAGAGGATTGTAAAACAGCTGATGTGCTTCCAGTCTACAAAAAGCAAAAAAAAAAGTGGATCCAGGAAATTACAGACCAGCCTGACATCAATAAGCGGGAAAATCCTGGAAAAGATAGTCAAGCAGCACGTTTGTGAGTTTCTAGAAACGAACAAGACAATTACTAGAAGCCAGCATAGGTTTGTCAAAAACAGATTATGCCAGACAAGCTTTATTGTCTTCTTTGATTAAGTGACTAAACTAGTGGATTAGGGAAATGCTGTGGACATAGTTGACTTAGACTTCAGTAAGGCATTTGACAAAATAGACCACAGCCTACTTCTTCATAAGATAGAACAATGTGGAACAGACAGTACCATCTACCAGATAGATTTGCAACTAGTTGACCAATTGCACTCAGCATGTAGTCCTCAATGGAATTACATGTACATGGAGGGAAGCGTGCAATGTAATACCTCAAGGTTCTGTTTTCGGCCCAGTGCTGTTCAACATCTTCCTAAATGGTTTAATGAGGGGATTTAAGGAGAACTCATCAAATTTGCAGACAATACCAATATGGGAGGAATAGCTAAGACTTTGGAAGACAGACTCAAGATTCAAAAAGATCCTGACAAGCTTATCAAAAACATGCAATTCAGTGATGAGAAAAGTGAGATCCTATGCATATGCACAGGTATAGTATAGGTGATACCTGGCTCAACAATAGCAACTGTGAGAAGGATCTACTGTAGGTGTTCTGTTTAATCCTTGCTATTCTAATGGATATACACTGGGAGATTCTAGGGAGTGGTATCCAAATTCTCTCTCTGTTTCTTACCAGTTTTCAACTGTACTGCATTGTCTCCCCCCTCTCCCCCCGCCATTTCTGGAAACTGATGCCTTAATGTGGTACTTCACAGCTGCTCTCCTTCTGTAGTGCTCCCCTTCTGTAGTCATCTCTTACACAATCAATGATAAAAGACAAAGAACAAGGTGGCATCACCAAAAGTTCCAATGTCAACACAGAGGAGGAATGATGGATGCAAAAGTCAGGGGCCAGACAGGATGGGGAATCGGAACCAGTGCCACTAATAGCAACCCTGCTAATGATAGGATAGTATCAGTAACTTTCAGTACATTTGGCTAGCAAGCATAACCCAAAGTTCAGTTTTATACCAAACTTTTTCATGCTGTTTTAGCATAACCAATCAATCAGAATAGAGCTGGAAGGGACCTTGGAGGTCTTCTAGCCCAATCCCCCGCTCAAGCAGCAGACCCTATATCATTTCAGACATGTCTGTCCAGTCTCTTCTTAAAAGCCTCCAGTGATGGAGTACCTTCAACTTCTGAAGGAATGCTGTTCCACTGGTTAATTGTTCTCATGTTGGAAGTTTCTCCTTAATTCCAAGTTGCTTTTCTCCTTGATTAGTTTCCATCGTTTCTTGTCTTACCTTCTGATGCTTTGGAAAATAGATTGACCCCTCTTTGTGGCAGCTCCTCAAATACTGGAATACTGTGGCCATATCACCCGTAGTCCTTCTTTTGTCTAGACTAGCCATACCCAATTCTTGCAACCGTTCATTTTTTCCAGGCCTTTAATCATCTTAGTTGCTCTTCTCTGCACTTTTTCCAAAATCTCAACATATTTTTATAATGTGGTGGTCAAAACTGAATGCATTATTCCTGATATGATTTTATAATATTTCACGTGATTTTGATTCTATGCCTCTGTTTATACAACCAAGGATTGTATTAGCTTTTTGGGCTGTTGCCGCACTGTTGGCTCATATTTAAGTGATCGTCCACTAGGACTCTAAAGTCCCTCTCACAGTTACTGTTTTTGAGTCAGGTCTTGCCTAATCTGTACTTGTATCTTTGGCTTTTCCTGCCTAAGTGTAAAACTTTGCTTTTCTCCACATTAAATTTCATGTTATTGGATAGGGCCCATTGTTCAAGTCTGTCAAGATCTTTTTGGATCCTGAGCTTTTCTTCTGGGGTGTTGGCTATTCCTGGCAGCTTAGTGTCATCTGCAAATTTGATGTTCCCCTTCTATTCCCTCATCTAAGTCATTTATGAAGATATTGAAGAGTACTGGGCCTAAGACGGAATCTGGTGGTACTGCACTACTTACCTCCATGTAGATGTAGTACCATTATGGACTACTCGTTGAGTATGGTTTGTCAGCCAGTTACAAATCCACCTGGTGGTGATGCTGTCTATCCCATATTGTTGAATTTTAAATACAGTTGAAATCTATATTCACTTCAGAATGTAATATTCTCTGAAGGTGCTGAAATCAATGTTGAGGACAAGGATGAAGTATTACGATTCTTATTTTTAACAATATACAACTGCCTTGACTCCAAGTGAGCATATTGATTTACGCCTATAAAAAAAGTTAAACTACATGGATTTTCTTCTGTATTGTAGCTGAGAAGGTGACTTCATTGGGCAAGGATTGGCACCGTCCCTGTCTACGCTGTGAGCGTTGCAAGAAGACTCTTATTCCTGGAGGCCATGCTGAGGTAGGAATCTATTAAGTTGGATTCAGGTTTTATCTTCTGGTGTTTTTGGAACTGAATTGGCAGGCCTTTTGCATATTTTGCTCCTAGATGACATGAAACAAGTTCTGGAAGAAAAACAAGTTTTGGCATGATTTCACATTAATATTTGACATCACAAAATAAACCACATATTGATTGTAATTAATTCTTTATATTTTAATTCATAATCAACTATTTCCTCCTTACTGTATCCTTTGGTCCCTACTAAATGTCTTTTGGACAGTAATTTCCAAATATTCTGATACACTCTGCATCTGATTCATTTATAAACAGGTGTATCTATAACAGTATAATGTATATATGTTGTCTGATTTCTACATTTTCTTACTGATATTTTGGAGGTGTATGTTTTTTGTTCATAAAATGTACTATATGCTACTGTTTTTAGAAACCAGGTGATGTACCTAGTTGATCTGGGCTGATCATAAAAACTTACAATAATCATATCTGGTTACTTTTTGGAATGGAGATTACCAGGAAATTCTAAGGTTGTACATTCAACTTACAAGTTAAAAAATCTGAGAAGACAGTGGGGGCAAGCCATGTAATCTACTTGGATATGTCTAGATATTCACTGAGAATCAAGTAATCAAAGGAGGCTTCACTTTTTTATAGTTCTAATGTGTTGTATTATGGATATAGAAATTCTTAGAACAAAGGGCTGCATTGCCACTATGGAAATTAGCCTGGTGATGTTGTGGTCCGTTGGCTGCCAGTAGAGCTAGCAGCACAGTCAGACGAGGAGGAGGAGATGGAGGAGGAGCCTGGGTCAACTTCAGAACTTTTGGAAGGCTCTGATGAGGAAGCAGAATCAGAGGCAGATGCAGAGCCATGGCCATTTGTCCGAGTCCAGGTGGAGAGGCAGCTGTCTTCGGGGCCTGAACTGAATCGGGGAGGAACAGATGGGGCCTGACCCAGATGCATAGAGAGGAGAGGAGAGCAATGGAAGGCAATAAGCCAGCTCTCAGGGAAAAGAAGTAGATGTTACCCAGCTCCTCCCTGGCTGGGAAATAAATAGTAGGGGTTTGGGAATGGCCTGTTGTCGCAGACAACCATTCGTTTTCCAGGATACATCAATCAAGTCAGATTCCTTTGTCAAAACCCAGTTGGGACTACTTGCTCTGTATTTGAGGTGCCAACTGAGTCTCCTTGCTGGGAATTAATAGGTTGTGAATTTGCCTCAACCGGTGTGAACAGGTACTGTTTCTGCTTGGTTAATCATTGAAAGACTAGTTATCTGTAGTTCTCATGTGAACAGAAATGGTCGCTGCCCTGTTTCAAAGGGAAAAAGACTTTCCTTTGGAACTGCTTGTTTTGGTTTTGTCTACCCAGCGTGAACAAAGATTGTTCCTGCCTGGTTTAATAAAAGGGGTTTGTTTACTTGTGAGTAAGTGGTTTCTCATTACTTTCTAAGGCTGGGTCAGAACAGGCAGGAGGTGGGTTTTGTCAGCGTCCAATGCCCAAAATGTTTGGAGCTGTTCTTTTTACAGTTTATACATTTTTACATATATCCTATTTCTCTCTCTCTCTCTCTCCCTCCCTCCCCCCCCTCTCTCTCTCACACAAAGCCAGCATAGACCTATACATACAGAGATTTTGGTTTCTAGCACCATGTCCCTATACCTGTCTCTTCTCATTTTTGTCACTTTTCTCACAAATATTTTCTGTAATAATTTTTAATGCAATCATATCCCTGCCTAACCTGTTTCAAACCTATTTAGCATTTCCTGCACCAAGTTTAAATCAGATGACTTCTGAAGACTTTTCCAAGTCTATGTGATTCTGTTAAAAAATCAACAGCATCCTTTTGCTACTGCAAGACAACTGCATGCCAAAAGAATAAGCAATGAAGACTAAATGTTCCCTCTAGGTACAGAGAGGTGTTAGATCACTGTTCTGCATTGTTTATCAGTGAGATTTGGGATCAGTGAGATATGCTTTTGCATTCAGGTACAAAGTGTACTACTTGCTATTAATGGACATGGCTTTTAATTAGGTCAAAGGCTTGTAGTTTTACTCCTGTGAATGCTAGAACCCAGGCAGCAATCTTATGTTGCAATTGTCTTGAAACAAAAAGTGTCAATATTTTAGTATGATAGATACCAGAGGCTAAGAAGGTTGTTTTATTTTGGGTACCTCCTCTAGAGTAGGTCTTTATGTAAACTAGGTGATTTATACTTAATGTGCTTTGAGGTATAAAGTGATTTAAAATAATGATGGGAACAAAACTATTGATTTTGTTCAATAGTTAACAATGCATAGAAAATTGTTAACAGAAAGAGGCTGATCTTATGTCTTACATTAATGTATTCATCTTCTGTTTTTTTCCCCCTTCTAGCATGATGGACAGCCATATTGCCACAAACCATGCTATGGGATCCTGTTTGGACCAAAAGGTGAAGTGATGGACAGAGATCAGTTTAAATATTGAAAATGAACAGGCTTGTTTATTATTACTTCTTTTGTTGGAATTAAGATCTAGTCTTGTACTTAATAATTCAGGTTTAGCAGATTTACAGCAGAGATAACAAAACCTTGGTTGGGGTGAGGGCATAAGCTTTTGAAGTTTATGCTGGGAACCATATTACAAAAGAGTTGGGGTCACATCAAGAAATAGAACATTTTAAAAAGTAGGCCATAATTAATGTAAATATTAATTACATTAATATTATTACTGATATAATGTTCCATAGAATAATAATATTATGCAGATAATATTATCAATAAAGAAGAATATATTACTTCTGAATAATTTATTTCATTTACAGGAGTCCTCGGCTCCCAACCATAATGGAGCCTGCCCATTATGGTAGTAAGTTATGACAGTTGTTATGTGAGGCAACTGCATGATCTCCTTGCTTAATGATACCCACCTGTGCTCTCCCTTAAGCATTCATTAAGCAGAGCATGAAGTGCTTCAGGGATAGGGGACCAGAATGCCCAGCCCTGCCTGCTCTGGACCTCCTAAGGCCTCTCTCACCCAGAGACACCCCATGTTCTGCTTCCCACCCCTAAGGGACGCCACAGGACTTGGGCCTGCTTCCCATCCTGCTGAGCCCCACCCCCCCTTACTCACCCCTCATCATCTATTGTGCACGTATCTTTTGAAAATCTCTGGAATTCTGGACTTCATGTTGGGGAAGCTTCCGCTGCAAGTATAGAATAGGTAATACCTGGCTCAACAGTAGTAACTATGAGAGGATCTTGGAGTCCTAGTGGACAACCACTTAAATATAAGCCAGCAGTGTGCTGCAGCTGCCAAAAAGGCCAACGCAGTCCTAGGCTGCATTAACAGAGGGATAGAATCAAGATCACTTTGAAGTGTTGGTACCACTTTATAATTCCTTTATAAGACCACACTTGGAATGTTGCATCCAGTTTTGGTCACCATGATATAAAAAAGATGTTAAGACTCTAGAAAGAATGCAGAGAAGAGCAACAAAGATGATTAGGAGACTGAAGGCTAAAACATATGAAGAACAGTTGCAGGAATTATGTCAAGTTTAATGAAAAGAAGGACTGGGATGACATGATAGCAGTATTTCAAATATCAAAGGGGCTGCCACAAAAAAGAGCAGATCAACCTATTCTCCAAAGCATCTGAAGGCAGGACAAGAAGTAATGGATGAAAATAATCGAGAACCAACCTAGAACAAAGGAAAAATTTTCTGACAGAACAATTAATTGGTGGGATGACTTACTGAATGGGTTGTTGGGCTGTGGGTGTTCAAACACCGAAGGTTTCTAAGAAAAGATTGGATAACAATTGGTCTGAAATGGTGTAAGATCTCCTGCATGAGCAGGGAGTTGGTCTAGAAGACCTCTAAGGTCCCTTCCAACTCTGTTATTCTGTTATCCTAGGAGTGGACTCCATTTTCTGAGCAGCCACAAGCCAGGGGCCCCAAGAATGAAGTAGTCCATCCTGCTTTCCTAATCTGGTCTCCGCAGCATTGCAGAAAGCTCTGGGTCTTTCTGGAGCACTGTGGAGATTGCATTAGAGAGGTGGAAGTGGAGTACATCACTCCATCCCTGGGGCATGTGCTTGTGTCCTGGAAGCAGCTGCCATTTTGTGCAACGCAATAAATTATGGCCACTCTAAAAATGGCAGCTGCTTCTGGGATGCAACCTGCAGCCCATGGATGCTAAGAGATGGAGAGGCCTGCCCTCCGGAGGTCCAAATCTCTAGAAATTTTCAAACGGTAAGTGACTGGGTGTGGAGGAGGGTTTGGGGACACAGCAGAATGAGATGGGGGGACTGATAGGCAGGCGGGTGCTACAGTGTCCCTGTGGTTAGTAGTAAGGGCAAATGACCATAGGAGCTCTGCAGTGGCCATAACTTTGAAACAGGTTGAAAGTAGCTTTTGGAGGGGTCTGTCATAATTTTGAATGGTTGCTGAGTGATCAATCATATATCAAGGACCACCTGTAACTACCAAATTCATATAAGTCATGCCTCCAGTTTGGGACATCACCACTGGGAAAATATTTATGAAAATGGAGATTTAGAAAACTAGAAAAATCCACGGTTTAGAAACTAGCATGCCAACATTCAAAACTGAAGATGTTTTGGAGGTGCCCAATAAAAGGCTAATTCAATCAGCATTGATGACTAATTTATGTCATGCATGTCACAAATGACACACCATGCCATTTTTGGTGGTATGTCAGGTCTCTGGACACTCTGAAAGTTGCATGGAAAGACCTTGCTCTTGCACAGCCTCTGAGGTTGCTCCTTTTGTCCAGTTAGTGATGGTGGCACACCAACAAGGGCTGGAAAAAAAAAACATTTTTTTTTCTGTTCCTCCATCAACTATGAGGTGAGAGTGGGACCCCAAACCATCTTGCAGGCAGTCCTAATGTGATTTTTTTGAGAAATGAAGTTTCTCGTATTCAACTGGGTCCAAGGGGCTTGCAGACCACTCTAATAAAGAAATGAGAGAAGGTCAGATTTACTGTTTTTCTATTCCTTTTTACATTAACTGCAAACTTACAGCTACAGATTTTTTTCAGTGTTTTTTCTTTCCTCTTTATGGATTAAAAACAGTATACTGATAGAGTACAACAGTTTCCCACAAAGACATATGATTCATTAAGAAAAACACCTAATTTACCTTGGTTTGTTGTATTTAAGTATTATTTCAACATTAGCCACAAAAGAGTAAAAGACCAATTGTTAAAAGAAGGAAGGCTACAGTATTTAAAAGATTGTTTTTAAAAAAGACGTTGCCTTGGAACTATTGAGAGCATTTCCAAGAAGGCCTGTCACAGAGAAGAGGAGGTCGATTTATTTTCCAAAGCCCTCCACCTGAGAGCAGGACCAGAAGCAATGAGTGGAAGCTCATTAAAAAGAGATCCAACCTTACTGTTAGGAGACATTTCCTAACAGTAAGAGCAATTAACCAATGGAACAGCTTGTCTCCCAGAGTTGTGGATGCTCCATCACTGAAAGTTTTCAAGAAAAGATTGGCCAACTATTTGTCTGGGATGGTACAAGATCTCCTGCCTTGAGCAGGGGATTGGACTAGAAATCCTCCAAGATCCCTTCCAAACCTATGATTCTATTATTCTGTTCTATTCAATTCTTTTCTGTTCCACTCCACTCCACTCTTCCTCTGTCAACAATACTGAACAAGTGAAAAATTGGCTATATCAAGCATGAGATGCATCTGCCAAGGTATCTCATGTCCTTTACATGGATAATCTGAGACTATATGGAAAAACATTGTACACATACACAGCCAATGCAGTTTGGATTGGACAAACGTGCCATTTTTACCATCAACGGGGAAAACAATGAAAACTGAAGGAATCAAGATACTCTATGGAAATAAAAGTCTGGACCAGAGGTGTCCAACTCGATTTCATTGAGGGCTGCATCAGGGTTGTGGTTGACCTTGGGGGGCTAGGGTGGGCATAGCAGGGGTGGGCGTGGCCAGCTCGTCACTCATGTCAGGGGGCACCTGTGGTGGACTGGGCTGGGGGGGGATCCATTGTCTCCAGAGGAGGAAGGCAAGACCAGGGTGAGCACCATACACTTGTCCACCAGAGGAGCCTTGCTGTCCCTCTCAGGCCATGCAAAGGATCCACAGTGATGCAGGCTGCCTGGAGCCCTGGGCAGTGGAGGGCAAGCATCCAGTCCAGCCTTTCCCAAGGGGCACCAGGCTGCGCTTACCTCCTCCTCAAGGCTGCTGCTGATTGGCTCCTTCTCCTTGGCCAAGTTGCTCATGGTATGTGCAGGAGGGCAAAATGTGTTGGTCAGAGGGAGGCCCAGTCCCTCTCCCTGCGAGGAAACCCAGCTTTGTAACCAAAGCATCCTCAGCAATAGGATGGGAGACCACCAGCAGAAGCCAGGAGGCGGGGACAAGGAGATGGCGAAAGGGCAGCAGGACTGCTCGTGGCCAAGTGCTAAGGTAGGACTTCCCTCAGACGCTCCCTCCCTCTCATTATAATCTTCCTTCTTTCCTTCCTTTCCCTCGTTTCCTTTCTTCTTCCTTTTTTTCTTCTTCCTTCCCTTTCCTTCTTTTTGTTTGTCTTTCCTCTTTCCCTTTCTCCTTTCCTATCCCTTCTTGGATGCTCAAATGCAAAAAGGGGAGACATTTCTCGATGCCTCCTTGCCTTGTGATCAAATACCACTTTTGCTAGTAGTCTGTGGTGTTGGTGGAAGGGGGTGGCGCTGATCTACAACCTGATTGCATCCATCAAAGTAAGAACGCGTGGGCTTCCGGTTCTGGATCGCAGTGCTGGCAGACGTGCGGGGCGATCGCTCCCTCCACCGTCCGGTTTTCTCTCATCGGGGGATCCTGAAAGGGGTCGAAAGTCGCCTTGGAGGGGCGATGAGCAGGGAAGAGGACCTCCGACGATTGTGGAAGGTCCTCTTCGAACAGATGGAGAAAAGATTGGCCATCCACATGGCCCATCATTAATGCCGTTTCCAGCCGAGGCCAAACTCAGCACTTGAAAGCACCACGGAAGAACTGGGTGAGACCCTACCTTCTTTTTACCCCAAATATTTTTTCCTGTAAAAGCTCTCTGAAATTACTTCCCCCTGTGAGGAGAGAGGGAAGGGAACGTCTTTTTCCCACCCTCTGAAATGGTGGCGGCTGCCTACATTGGGGAGATGAAACCTTGAAAAATATATTTAAGTAATTGGACTTAACATGTTTTCTGGATCTGGCTACCCAAAAAGTTCCTACTTTCATGGGAACTGGCTATTTAACTACTTGGGGAAAAAAGCTGGATAAAAGTCTAGCCCAGTGGTGGCGAACCTATGGCACGGATGCCACAGGCGGCACTCGGAGCCCTCTCTGTGGGCACATGTGCTGTTGCCCCAGCCTTGCCTCCCCCCGCAACCCCCTCCTCTCCAGCAGCCCCCCTAAAGGAGAATTGCCCCCGAGCG